GGGGAAGGTCATGGGGAGGAGGCTGTGTCCCATGGGGGGCCTGGGAAATGGGGGATGAACCCTGGGGGGCATTGGAGATTGGGGGGTGCAGAACCTAGGGAGAGGTTGGAGATGGGGGGCTTGACCTGGCTGGGAGGGGGCTGATCTCTCCAGTGACCATGTCCCGCCCTAGTTGGCTGGGTGGATGCTCTGGTCCCCCCCCACTTTGCCCCCCCAGCATGCTGAGCAGCTGGCTGGTGCCCCCAGTCCCCAGGGGGTGGGTGACGGGTCTGGGTGTCTGCAGGGAGGTGCAGGAGCAGGTCGTGGCTCTGGGGACCCCTGAGCTGGGGAGGGGGTGGGTGTGGTCTCTCCCCTGCCCCTGAGCAGGCCCCCTTCCTAGGCACCCTCTCGCCACTGCCCCTAGCGCCCTCCCCCTGCTCCCACAACTCCCTCTTACCCCCCTCGTTGACTCCTCTCCTTCCCCAGCAAAGCCCCTGGGCCCCCTCAGCTCCCCTTCCATCTGCCTCCCATCCTGGCCCCCTCCCACTGCTCTGCTGCCCTCCCCTGCTGGGCCCGCTCCCGATTGGTCTCCTGCCTCCCTCAGCTCCCCCAAATCCGTCCCCCGCCCTGCTGGGGGGCTCTGGCCCTCTGCCTGCTGGTGTCAGCGGTGGGATCCGCCCTGAGCAGGGTTGGGCAGCGGGGCTAGGCTGACCCCCTCCCTCCGCGGTGCTGGCAGGGGCCTGGACAGCCTGAGCGGGAAGGGCAAGGCGGGCGCCGGGGCCGCGCTGCCCATCGACGGGATGATTCTGAGCCTGCGGGACCTGATCATCTACTTCCAGCATCCGGAGGAGGAGCTGCGGCACGAGGAGAAGCAGGGCCGGCTGCGCTCGCTCAAGAGCCGCCAGAACCTCTTCCAGGAGGAGGTCGGTGGGAAGGGGGGGGCACGGGGCCAGCGCAAAGGGTGAGGGAGGGGGTGGGGTCCGCCATGGACGAGGGATCCCTGTATAAACAGCTGCCCCGCCCCACCCCAGAGGTGGCTGCATCTCAGTGGCAGGGTAAGTGATCCCCTGCTTTGGGATGGGCAGGAAGGGACAGTTGCTGGCTGTGGGGGGCCTGGAGGGGGGGTTTCTGCTGGTGGGGGGAGGTCAGGCTGGTGCCCTGGGGTGTGACAGCTACGCTCGGCTCCCCGCAGGGCATGATCACGCTGGTGCTGGACTGCATCGACCGTCTCAACCTGTACAGCACGGCCGCTCACTTCGCCGAGTTCGCGGGCGAGGAGGCGGCCGAGTCCTGGAAGGAGATCGTCAACCTCCTGTACGAGCTGCTGGGTGCGTGGGGCCTCAGGACGGTAGCGGGGCCTCGGGCAGGCTCTCGCCCCCTCCCCACCGTTTCGGGGCCGCGGAGCTGGGGGCGGCCGGGGGCTGCGATGGGGCTTGTCCTGCAGAGAGCGGCTGGCCTAGGCCGAGCAGGGCAGAAATCAACCCCTGCTGCTGAGCCGTGGGCCCACCCGCTGGACGGAGGGGTGGGAGGGAGGGTCCTGCTCTGGGGTGGGGGAGGTGGCACCCCCCGGCTGATGGCCTGTCTCTCGCCCCGCAGCCTCGCTGATCCGGGGCAACCGCTCCAACTGCGCCCTCTTCTCCAACAACCTGGACTGGCTGGTCAGCAAGCTCGACCGGCTGGAGGCCTCCTCCGGTGAGACTGGGCAGGAGGGGTGAGGGGCGCTGGGCGGGGTGAGGGGCGCTGGGTGGGGTGACGGGTCTCATGGGCCGTGTCCAGGGGCGGCGAGGCGAGTGGCTGGGACCTCCCCAGGGCCTTGAGAATGTCCACAGCCTGGCCAAGGCGTGGGCGGAGGCACGCAGACGCACGCGTGTGCTCCCCGCAGATCCGTGCTGTGCGCATGTGGACACGCCCAGCGGTATGTGTACATACATGAGCAGATACATGAATCCACACGTGTGCTCATGGCAGCTGCAGATCCAGGGGCATGTTCGCCCGTGCGGTGCACACAGCCCACCCCAGGCGTGTGTGTTACACCTTGTCACGGACTCATGGGTCGTGCCCACTCTTGGCCCCATGCGGTCCCTGAGGGAACCCCTTTCATTGAGACAGGCCTTCTCGGGGGTCCACTCTCTCTCGGGGTCAGGCCCTCCACCTCCTGGAGCCGCACCTCTCGGAGCCTTAGCATGTCTATCTCTGCCGTGGGCCCCCCAGGGAGTCCACTTGCTCTGGACCCCCGGGGCCTCCACCCCCCGAAGGGGACGATGCCCCCTGTTCTCTAGCCCGGAGCGACTCTCAGCCAGCGTAACACAGGAGTGTTTATTGAGTGACTGAACACAGCACAGGAAACTCTCAGGGCCTCAGGCCTGGCCTCCCTCAGCACAGCACATCCCAGTCTCCCCTGCATCCAGGGGGGCTCTGCCTGCTCCCCCTCTCCAGCCCCAAGCCCCCCTGCTCCCAGCTGGGCATCTGAGATCACCTCCCCCAAACCCCGCCTCTGTCCATTGTCCTCTATCCAGGTAAACAGGGTCATGGGCCTCCTCTCCCCTCTTCTGTCCTCTGGCCCCCTCTGGCTGGAACTGGCTGGTCCGGTCACCGGGGTCCCCTCGCCGCAGCCCATTGTCCCCCCCACTGGCCAGAACCGGCTGTGACTCCTGAGTTGGGCCTGCGGGTCCCCAGGTCACCGGTCGCTGGGGTATCCGTCCTCCAGGCCATCTCTGGGGTCCCAAGTTCCCTCTCCGGTCCTCTGTAACCACGAACTCCGTCTCCCATCACCTCGTTAAACCAGCAACACCCAGGGACACTGAGTCCCACCCCCTCTGCATGCAACCCATTGGAAAACAAGGACAAAACAAGAAACTCCCCCACTTCGTCACCCGCTTGCACGGTCACGCGCGCACTCACTCACGGCCCGGTGCCCCCCGCCAGGGATCCTGGAGGTGCTGTACTGCGTCCTCATCGAGAGCCCCGAGGTGCTGAACATCATCGAGGAGAACCACATCAAATCCATCATCTCCCTGCTGGACAAGCACGGCCGCAACCACAAGGTGAGGGAGTCGCCCGCAGCCCCGGGGCCGAATCCTCGGCTCTCCCGGCCCTGCCTTGGGGGCAGGAACAGGCTGGGGATGGGTGGTAAGGCCCCATTGTGGTTCCACGCTGGGGGCCCTGTCTGCTCCCTGCTGTCAGAGCAACCCCCGGGCTGCTGTAACTCACGCTGCCCCCCCTATGGACCCTGGGGGGCAGAGACTAGCCACAGGGCAGGGCGCTCCGACCACACCCCGATCCGCCCCCTGTGGGCCCTGGGGGGCAGGGACAAGCCACAGCTCAGTGCGCTCTGACCACACCCCGAACTGCCCCCCTCTGTTCTGACATGGCACTCGATCCCTCCCCTGGGGCATCCAGCAGTTGGCTGGCAGGGCCGGGCTGGGGTCCCGTATCCCAGGGGAAACCCCAGCGCTGTCTCCTCTCCCCGTCCCGGTAGGTCCTCGACGTGCTCTGCTCTCTGTGCGTCTGCAACGGGGTGGCCGTGCGCTCCAACCAGAACCTCATCACCGAGAATCTGCTCCCGCGCCGCGACCTGCTCCTGCAGACCAGCCTCATTAACTACGTCACCAGGTGAGGGCGGGGCTCACTCACTCCCTGCCCTGTACAGCTGTTAAACCGTCCTCCTGCCCCACCCCAGAGGTGGTTGCATCCTAGCGCCAGGCGAGGGGTCCCTGTACAAACAGCCCCCACGCCCCACCCCAGAGGTGGCTGCATCCCAGCGCCGGGCGAGGAGTCCCTGTACAAACAGCCCCCACGCCCCACCCCAGAGGTGGCTACATCCCAGCGCCGGGCGAGGAGTCCCTGTACAAACAGCCCCCACGCCCCACCCCAGAGGTGGCTGCATCCCAGCGCCGGGCGAGGGGTCCCTGTACAAACAGCCCCTGCGCCCCACCCCAGAGGTGGCCGCATCCCAGCGCCGGGCGAGGGGTCCCTGTACAAACAGCCCCCGCGCCCCACCCCAGAGGTGGCTGCACTGTGTAGTTTGCAAGGTGCGTAACGTGCGCGGGAGGAGTGGGGGGTTCCTTCCTGCCCCCCCCCAGCCCCTCCCTCCCCAGTGCTGACCCCCCCCTTCTCTCTGCTCTGCAGCATGCGCCCCAACATCTTCCTGGGCACGCACGAGGGCTCGACGCAGTACAAGAAGTGGTACTACGAGCTGATTGTGGATTACGTGGAGCCCTTCGTCACGGCGCAGGCCACCCACCTGCGCGTGGGCTGGGCCATGACCGAGGGCTACAGCCCCTACCCCGGGGGCGGGGAGGGCTGGGGCGGCAACGGCGTGGGGGACGACCTGTACTCCTTTGGCTTCGACGGCCTGCACCTCTGGTCAGGTACGAGCCCCAGCTCTGCCCAGGGCCTGCCTGCTTGGCCGCTCTGGCGGGCGTGCAAAGGAGCAGGCATGGGGGTGCTGCAGAGGGAGCGCCCAGGCCCCCTCTTGCACACTCACATGCTCTCTTTGGCATGTGATTTTGCACGCCCTCCTGCATGCACCTATGCACGCCCTTGCACGCGTTGTCTTGTGCATGCTCTTTTCACACTCAGGTTCTTGCACACTCTTTGCACACAAGCACACCCTTATGCATGCACATTATCTTGTGTGCACTGCCTTGCACGCTTGTTGCATGCTCACTCGTGCATGCTCTTATGCGCACCCTATTTCTCTTTTGCACACTTCTGTGCACATCGACATTCACTTGCTTGTTCTTGCACACATGTTCAGTGCACACTCACTCATCCACTCTTGTGCACACATTCTGTTGTGTGTTCTCTTTTGCACACTTGCTCACGCACACATTCTCTCATATGCTGACACACTGTCTCGCACACTTGTTGCCCACTGAGTCATGCACACTTATGCCCCCACTATTTCTCTTGCACGTTCTTTTGCACTCTGATGTGCACACGGATGCTCTTGCACGGCCTCCTGCACATTCATTACTCAGGTTCTCACACAAACGGACACTCTCTTGTGCATTCTCTCTGGCACTCTTCTGCCTACTCTTTGCACCCTGTGGGAAACTGCACCGTCTGTTGCTTGACCTCGCTTTGGCTCGGTATGAAATAGATTCAGGGGCCGAAATCGCCAGTGTCAGTCTGGGGGATTGCGAAAAGTCAGTGAGGAGCTAGCGGAGGAACAGAGGCTCGGTACGATCCCAGCAGCCGGGAAGCCGTGCCGTGCAGCGTCGTTACGTTCACCGTGCGCAGAAGGTTTGCTCCCTGGATGACGCCCCTAAAGTCACCTGTTTATACCTGACCTGTGGACGAGTCCAGGGGCTGCAACTACATTTACCCAGCCAGCTTCCCGGCTCGGCTCTCTGGCGTCCCGGCGCACCCCTTCTCTCCGTCGCTGGTTCCAACGGGCGCGAAGGCAGCTCCTCACCTTGTGCCAGGCCAGAGCAGTCCTACATCTTGTCTTTCTCCTTTGGGACATGCCAGGGCGAATGGGCGAACACCCGCGTGCCCCGAGCCGGCCCTGGGCTCAGCCCAGGCATGCCGGGATCCCTGGCGTCGAAGAGCGTAGGCCAGGTTCGGCTCTGGAGTGGCTGCTTGTGCCGAATGCAGACGTGTGGCCGCGGGGCGCGGAGGTTACTAGCCAGCATGCCTCGGTCAGCACCCACCGCCCCCTCCTTGCACCCGCGTTTCTCTCCCCCTCGGCCTTTCGCCCTTTCTTTTTGCACCCGCGCTCCGCCCCGCCCCTTGCGCCCGCCACTCAGCCTGGCCTCTCACCGGCCTCTCGTCTCCGCCCGCGCAGGTCGCGTGGCCCGCGCCGTGGCCTCGCCCGGCCAGCACACGCTGGCGGCCGACGACGTGGTGAGCTGCTGTCTGGACCTGAGCGTGCCCAGCATGTCCTTCCGCATCAACGGCTTCCCCGTGCAGGGCATGTTCGAGAACTTCAACGTGGACGGGCTCTTCTTCCCCGTGGTCAGCTTCTCCGCGGGCATCAAGTGAGCCGGGACCCCGGGCTGGGACGGGGGGTAGGGAGCAGGGGTGAGAAGGGGGATTGGGGGTGGGGAGGAGGAATTGGGGAAGGCGAGGGCGAAGAGGGGCTGACCAGGATGGGGAAGGGGCTGGCGGGAGGGAGCTGATGGGGTTGCGGGAGGGGTGGAGGAATAGGGGGCTGCCAGGGAGGAGAGGGCGGTTGTGGGGGATGGGGTGAGAGAATTGGTGGGGGGAGGAGCGGGGGGACAGAAGCGGGGGTGGGGGCCAGCAGGGAGGGGGGCTGTGGGGGAGGAGAAGGCCGTTGGGGGGCTGGGGGGAAAATTGGTGGAGGGAGGAGTGGGAAGGGGGAATCCAGAGAGGCAGGCTGTGGGGGAGGGGTCCAGCCTTCACCATCCCCCCCCACAGGGTCCGCTTCCTCCTGGGGGGCCGCCACGGCGACTTCAAGTTCCTGCCCCCCCCGGGCTACACGCCCAGCTTCGAGGCCCTGCTGCCCCGCGAGCGGATGCGGGTGGAGCCCATCAAGGAGTACAGGCAGGACGCGGGCAACGTCCGCAGTCTGCTGGGGCCCACCCAGGCCCTGTCCCACACGGCCTTCACCCCCTGCCCCGTCGACACCCAGCAGGTAGTGCCCCCGGGGCCCCGGCCTGAGCAGGAGGGGCCCCGCCTGGCTCGGGGGGTGGGCTTGGGGGAGGGGACCCTGCCTGGCTCTGGGGGCAGGGTTCAGGGAAGGGGCCCCGCCTGGCTTTCGGGATTTGGGGGAGGGGACCCTGCCTGGCTCCGGGGGGGCGTGGTTGGGGAAGGGGACCTGCCTGGCTCTGGGGAGTGGGGCCCTGCCTGGCTTTGGGGGGGGATTCGGGGGAGGGGCCCCACCTGGCCTGGGGGGTTCAGCGGAGGGGACCCTGCCTGGCTCATGGAGGGCGGTTGGGGGAAGAGACCCCCACCTAGTCTGGGGGCGGGGGTTGGGAGGCTGTGGGGGGGCGGGGGATGGGTCGAGCCTGGCCTCAAGGCTGTGGGGAGCCGCCCAGTGCACATTGCCCCCAGGCGCTGACCCCCCGCTTGCCGGGGGGGGCCGGGACCCGCTCGGGGGTGTCCCCCAAGGCAGGGCTGGCCAGGCTGGGGGGCCCGTCTAACCCCTGTCCCCACAGATCGTCCTCCCCCCACACCTGGAGAGGATCCGTGAGAAGCTGGCGGAGAATATCCACGAGCTATGGGCGCTGACCCGGATCGAGCAGGGCTGGACCTACGGGCCTGTGAGTGCCCCCCTGTACCCCCTGTGGGCCTGCGAGTGCCCCTGTACCCCCTACAGGGCCATGAGTGCCCCCCATCCGACCCTACTGCTTCCCACTGGGGAGCGCCTCTGCTCCTGCTCCGACCTCTCCCCCCTGTGACTGGCAGCTGCCCCCGGGCGGGAGGGGGGGAGTCACTGAGGGGTGGGCACCAGCTACCCCACCGGCTGCCAGCCCTTGGGTCCTGCTTTTCAGATGGATTACCTGGCAGCCAGCCCAGCCCCGGACCCCCCCAGACCCTGCCCCCCCAGAACCACCCAGCCCAGACTCTGCCCCCCAGAACCGTGTAGCCCAACCCCTGCCCCATAGAACAACCCAGCCTGGCCCACCCCCTGCCCCCCTAGACCTCCCCAGCCTGGCCCAGACCCTGCCCCCTATGCACTCCCCTGTCTGGCCTGTGCCCAGGACCCCCAGCCCATATCCCCAGAACTGCCCAGCCTGGCCTAGCCCATGCCCCCCAGAACCACCGAGCCCAGCCTGTGCCCCCAAAACTTCCAACCTGTACCCCCAGAATCGCCCAGCCCCGTGCCCCCCGAATACCCCAGCTCAGCCCCTTTCCCAGAACCCACAGCTGGTGCTGGCTGAGTGGGGGTTGGGAGGGACTCGGGTTGGGGTGTCAGTGGGTCGCTGACCCCTCGTCCCCCCGTCAGATCCGGGACGACAACAAGCGGCTTCACCCCTGCCTGCTGGATTTCTACAGCCTGCCCGAGCCGGAGAGGAACTACAACCTGCAGATGTCGGGGGAGACCTTGAAGTGAGCGGGGGGACGGGGGGAGATGGGGGGTAACGTCAGCGGGGACTCGGAAACATGGGGGAGGAGGGGCTGAGACCCCTCTCCATGCTAGGGGGTGGGTGAGGGAGGTCCAGCTGGGATGGGGGGAGGATTGGGATGGGGGAGAGGGGGTGGCAGCTGAGCAGGGGGACGGGCTAGGGGGGGCTTATCTCTTGGGGGGGCAGTGGAGGGAGGGGGGACTTGTCCATTGAAGGTGGGGAGGGTCTCATCTCTTGCGGGGGTGACAGCGGAGGGAAGGGGTGCGGGACTCGTCTCTGGGGGGCGGGGGGATACGGTGGGGGCTCATCTCGGGGGAGGGGGACTCGTTTCTGGGGGCCGGAGGCTCTGTCGGGGAGCTGACACCCCTCCCCATTGATGTGTCCCCCCCCCGCAGGACGCTGCTGGCGCTGGGCTGTCACGTGGGCATGGCCGACGAGAAGGCCGAGGAGAACCTCAAGAAGACCAAGCTGCCCAAAACGTGGGTGTGCTGGGGGGGAGGGGGAGCCCCGGGGGGGAGGGGGGAGCCTGGGGGGACGTGACCCCCATGGAGCCGGCCAAGGCTCCACCGGCCCCAGGACGTCGCCCCCGGGCAGTGCTTGGCCTGGGCCTGTTGAACCTTTGAGCCCCGGGGTGACCAAATAAATCGGGGGTGGGGTGGGGGGGAGATCTGGGACACGGGTGTGACGGAGCCGCGGGGACCCCGTCAGTGTGCCAGACCTCCGCAGGGTCACGCGCTGTCCCTGGGGCGAGCCACGTGGTCTCCCCGCCTCCTGGGACCGGCCCTCGGGGCCCCCAGCCCCCCCTGCTTCACGCCGGGAGCTCCCTGCAACCAGGCCCAGATTCGTGCCCGCCCCGTTCCCGGCTCTGGAGCGACTCGCAGCCGTCTGGGTCAGTCCGAGCCCCTGAGTATCAGTCCAGGCGCCTCTCCCCTGCCTCCAGCCGTCCCCACTTAACAACCCCCCTGGCCCCCCTCAGGCCTTCGTCCCTCCTGGCTCTGTAAGGCAGGTGGGGCCGTCCAGGTGTTCTAGGTGCCAAAGGTCTGGGCAGTTGGAGTGGCCAGTGTCTTCTGGGACTTTCCATGGGCCCCAGGCGTGGGTCTCTGCCCACTGCCTCCTTAACCAGGCACCACATAGGGGAAACCGAGGCACGCACAATGGAAATTTCCCGCTCCGTCACTGGGGGTGGGGATACCAGGCTCGATCAGCTGGGGAGGGGGAGATACTGGGCTAGATGGAGATGGAGGTTGATTGGCAGGTCCTAGCGCAAAGCCCCTCCCCCGGCAGGTACATGATGTCCAATGGCTACAAGCCGGCCCCGCTGGACCTGGCCCACGTCAAGCTGACCCCGGCCCAGAACACGCTGGTGGACAAGCTGGCCGAGAACGGCCACAACGTGTGGGCCCGGGACCGCGTCAGCCAGGGCTGGACCTACAGCATCGTGCAGGTAGGGGGCTGGGGCTGGGGGAGGGGACTGCTGGGGGGCCAGGGTATGGGGGGCTGGGGAGGTTCCTGGGGTGGGCTGGGGGATCGTTACCGCCCGTTCTGTGCCAGGGTGAGCGGGCGTTGGGCCGTCTTCTGTTTCATGACGGAACCAGGCATTGCATCCAGTGGTTAGACTGGGTGGGGGGCTGGGAGCCAGGACTCCTGGGTTCTCTCCCCGGCTCTCGGAGGGGAGTGGGGTCTAGTGGTGAGAGCAGGGGGCTGGGAGCCAGGACACCTGGGTTCTCTCCCCGGCTCTGGGAGGGGAAAGGGGTCTAGTGGTGAGAGCAGGGGGCTGGGAGCCAGGACTCCTGGGTTCTCTCCCCGGCTCTGGGAGGGAAGGGGTCTAGTGGTGAGAGCAGGGGGCTGGGAGCCAGCACTCCTGGGTTCTCTCCCCGGCTCTCGGAGGAGAGTGGGGTCTAGTGGTGAGAGCAGGGGGCTGGGAGCCAGGACTCCTGGGTTCTCTCCCCGGCTCTGGGAGGGGAGTGGGGTCTAGTGGTGAGAGCAGGGGGCTGGGAGCCAGGACTCCAGGGTTTTCCCCCTGCCTCATTCCCCATCAGTGACCCAGGGCCGTGGTCCATCCCTGCTTGGCAAGTAGCTGTGTGGGGGCGGGGTGGGAGCGACATGAGGTTGGTGCTTTGAGATCCGCAGGGGGACGGGCAGCAGCCGGAGCAGCTCCTCCCCGCCGGGCCCGGGCCATCGGCTGGGTTAGGACTGGCTCGAGAGCAGCTCCTCTTGGTTTCCCCCCGTCCCGTGTGTGTCCGTGGCGTGTGCGTGGCGTGTCCGTGGCGTGTGCGTGTCACCAGGACATCAAGAACAAGCGGAACCCGCGCCTGGTGCCCTACAACCTGCTGGACGAACGGACCAAGAAGACGAATCGCAACAGCCTGTGCGAGGCCGTGCGAACGCTGATCGGCTACGGCTACAACATCGAACCCCCCGACCAGGAGACCTGTGAGTGCCCCCGGGGCCCCTCCCGCCCTCCCCTGGGGCCCCCCTTCTCTCCTCCTTCTGGGGCCCAGGGGAGGGCGGGAGGGGTCGCTCCTGGGGCCCCCCTTCTCTCCTCCCTCTGGGGCCCCTCCCCCAGACCCCTCCTGCCCTCACCTGGGCAGCCCCCCCTTCTCCGCTCCCCCTGAAGCCCCCTCCTGCCCCCTCATCTCCCCTCCCCCTGGGGCCCCCTCTTGCCCTCCACCAGGCCCCCCTCCTGCCCTCCCCTCCCCTGCGGCCCCTCCTTCTTCCCCCTCCCTCTGCCCTCCCCTGGTTTCCCTCCCCTGGACCCCTCTTGCCCTCCCCCAGGCCCTCCTTGTCTCCTCCACTCCCCTGACCCCGTGCTGTGGAGAGGGGGTAGTGGGGAGGGTGGTTGAGTGGTGGAGGGGCACAGGGCTGGTAGGGAAGGCAGGGAGGGGGTGTTGAGGTGCGGGGGAGGGCAGTGATGTGTGAGGGTGGGGATGGGGTGGAGGGAGGGGGGGCAGGGAGGGGATGGGGAATGGACAGGTGAAGGAGTGGTGAGGTGTGGGGGAGGGGAGCGATGTGTGAGGGTGGGGATGGGGTGGGGGTGTGTGTGATGGAGGGCCAGGAGGCAGGCAGGCCTTGGGGCGCGGGCTGACCCTGCCCTCGCCCCGCAGCGGCCCAGGGGGTGCCCACGGTGCGCTCGGAGCGGGTACGGGTTTTCCGGGCAGAGCAGTGCTATGCCGTGCGGGCCGGGAGGTGGTACTTCGAGTTTGAGGCGGTGACCACGGGCGAGATGCGCGTGGGCTGGGCCCGGCCGGACGTGCGCCCCGACGTGGAGCTGGGGGCCGACGAGCTCGCCTACGTTTTCAACGGCCACCGGGTGAGTGGTGGAGGGACTGGACCCGCCCCCAATCGGCCCCCCCAGCCTGGTATCCGCCCGCCCTCCGGGTCACCCAATGAGCCCCCCAGATCAGCCCAAAGGACCCCCCAGCCTGTTGTCCCCCTGGATCAAACTAACAGCCTGCCCTAGCCCTGTATCCCCCCCCCCGCCACTCCAGGCCAGGCCCCCCCATGGGCCCATCTAGCCCAGCGTCCTGTCCCCTCCTGGGGTCCTGCCCTTTGGTGCATTACCCTCTGGCCGTGCTGGGCCAGCGCCTCCCGCCCGCCCTGGCCATCGCGCCCCATGTCACCAGCCTGGGCCCCGGCGCCTTTCCCGGCTGCTGACCCCCCCACTCCCACCCCCACCAGGGCCAGCGCTGGCACGTCGGCAGTGAGCCCTTCGGCCGCTCCTGGCAGCCGGGCGACGTGGTCGGCTGCATGATCGACCTGACCGAGAACCACATCATGTTCACGCTCAACGGGGAGATGCTGATCAGTGACTCGGGCTCCGAGCTGGCCTTCAAGGACATCGAAATCGGAGAAGGTGAGGGGCTGGCTGCCCGGACGCCTGGGTTCTCCCTGCCTCTGAGAGGGGAGTCGGGGCTAGTGGTTAGAGTGGGGGGGGGAGGGGGCTGGGTGCCAGGACTCCTGGGTTCTGTCCCTGCCTCTGGGGGGGGGGGAGTGGGGGATAGTGGTTAGAGCAGGGGGCTGGGAGCCAGGATGCCTGGGTTCTCCCCAGCTCTGAGAGGGGAGTGGGGTCTAGGTTAGAGCAGGGGGTTGGGAGCCAGGATGCCTGGGTTCTCCCCAGCTCTGAGAGGGGAGTGGGGTCTAGGTTAGAGCAGGGGGTTGGGAG